GATTCATGGTTCATGGTGGTGGTGAAGGGGTGGGTTAGTATGTCTGTGTGCTACAGTGCTTCCGAGTCATTCTTTATTTTGGGTTAGTCTTATAAAAGAAGGGAAAGTTCGATAATGTACACATTTTTGTGTTCATTCCCCTTAGATCTCCCTCAACTAGTAGTCCAGTGCCCACGTTATCAACCCTCGCTATTTAGCTTATGTCCGTCTTCACTCTCTCACTCATCTTCCCAGCTCCTTTTACTCTCGCCCGTGCTTGACAACATAGCTAAATGTAGCTTTAAGCACCCTCTTCCAACGGGCTCCTTAGTGATCTCCAGTTATGCTTCTCTATCTTGTGTTCTACATGTTTCTAGATGTGCTTGGTTTTGAAATTTGTGACGGATCTTTACTTTGCTATTGATATCTTTATAATATCTTTAAATTTCAAAACCCCATGGCAGTGATCCCACAAAAAAGAGAAGATTAAAATCCCTAGTAGACTATGACTTGCGCAGTGGAAAGGGCTTAAGGCCTTTGCTTTGGAGCTTAACTCCTTTAATTTATCATTTGGTTTCTCTCTCTCTCTCTCTCTCTCTCTCTCTCTCTCTCCTCCTCCTCTCTGTTTCCTTTTCCTTTTCCCCTGTTGAGTTACAGAGTTGTCTGAACATGGGCTGTGTTGTGTAAGGGCTTCCTAAGGGGTTTATACTTTATAAAGGTTTTGGGCTACTCCATCCATTCCCTAAGATTTTGTAGTGGAAGCACATTCTTTCTCATGGTATTAGGCTGCCTTAGGTAAGCTCATTCTCGCTCTGGTAAGTCGCATTAAAATTCACATGTGAACCCAAAATTGGGTTACATGTTTTTTGAAAATGAAAAAAAAAGAACATGTAAGGTTTTGAATTTTGGATGCTCAGATTTTATCATACTCCCCTTCAAGTTGCTGATCTTTCTTCTGCTATGTTTTTTTGCTTGCTTGTAATCTTGGCCGTCTTTCCCTGTCAACTTGTTTCATTTGTACTCCTTCATCGGTATGAGGTCATTTCAGTCATTCGATTACTGGGAGAGAGGTGCTATTCAAATCTTAAGAATTTCAGATTAAAAGCAAACATAAGATTGTGTTGGAAAATCTCAAGAAAGAAGAAAAGTTGAAATGGACAAGAAAAAGAGCTTAAGAAAAAATAATTTGGCCCATTCAAATTGTTCCAACTGAATTTGTAACTGAGCGGTAGTCGAATTCGGTTGGCCTCACCTTTTGAAATTATAAACCGAAGTTCAGACACTAAAACAAATAACATTTCAAAACTGATATAACTGAATGAACAGCCACTCTTGAGTCCAAAGTATATACAAGGAGGGCAGTTGGAACGTATAAGAACTAATAGGTCCCAGTGTTGTTAAAGGCACGCTTAAAGTGCGGTTAAGCCCTGAAGCGAGGCTCAAAACATGTTGAGCGCTTCGCCTCGCTTTGTGGGTGCTTCAGTGTTGTATCAAGGCTCTAAACCATACTTTTCCTTGCCAATGAGTGTAATCCTAGAAAGACGACACTAAATAATTGATACTTCACTTTATCATAATTTTTTTCCAATTTCTTTGTCCATATATTTGTTATTCATGCTTATAATTATTGGTGTTAGACTACATATACATATTTTTACTCTTTCTCTAGTTGCGCCTTTTTTCATTGAAGCTCACGCTTTATTTGCGCTTATAGCCCCAACGGACCTTGGAGCTTTTTTTGCGCTTTTCGCCTTTGATAACACTGATAGGTCCAGACATCCACAAATCAAGGTCTGCTCTGTTTTATGGATGCTGCATTTGTTACTTTCAACCGATATTGTTGTTATAGTCCAGAATATTGATTAGATCCAGCCTTCTAGAGGAAAAGACTAGAAATTAAAGTTCTAGGATCCTGATCTGCGGTTATAAGTGTTTGGAGATGTTTAGAAGTGAATTTGCATTTGTCTGTAGCTTATGGGTTTTAGCTAATTAGTGAACAGGTCACTGTCATCTGCCTTTTTCCTTCAATGCTCCTTTCTGGCTTTCTTCTTGGGAAAAATATCATCTTTAATTTTTGTAACTTCTGTCTCTGCATTTAGTGATTCGTAGTGGTGTTAGCAAGTTCACTTGTGCCTTCCTACCTTAGCTCCTGCTTATACTGGTTTCCAGGTTCCTGGAGTGGAAGGACTTGTTGTAAGAATTGTGTCATCAGTGGACAAAAAGTTAGAAGTGAAACCACGATTTCTTGAGATATTTCAGGAAGAGAACTATCCGCTGGAGTTTCCATATAAATCAAAGGTATCTTCATGCAGAATCATTTAACGTCAAATTTGGGTTTAATGATTTGAATGAATGTCACGTTGTTAGTTTTTTTTTTCCATCTAAAAAAAAAGAACGTTTTTTATGTTAGAACTAGATCTTTATCTCGCACTATTTTACTGAGAATTAATTGCAGGAGGATCTGAATAATTTATTTTTTTGTAAAGGTAAGGTGATTTATAGATAAAAACAAACACAAAGGATGTGCTGTTGCAGGTGTTCACTATTTAAAGAAGCCAAAACAGCAAAGCATGCCCGTTTTAGTCTAATCTCCTAGTCTTTTAGGGCCTCTAACATCTTAAAACTGTTTCAACTTTCAACATCATTTACACGTTTTGATCTACACCATGAGAAAAACAGAAGTATACATTTAGACTTTATGTTAACGGCAGAATCAGTGAAGTCATCAAAACAGCTACTGTTTCTTTCTGTCCAAATAGTCCACCAAATATATGCAGGTCTCCTGTTCCACCACCTATGCTTGTTCTTTCGTCGTCTAATTCTGTTTCAGCATCTCAGCAACTCAGTTGTTGAATAGGCATGACCCAATGCAGACCAGTGCCTAAGAGCATAAGGGGTTTGCTAGAATGCTGGCAGGGGCAGGAAATTCAGAAAGACCTGAAACAGGTCTGGATCATTGTCCCTCTGGGCATCCTTTGGACACTATGGCTGGAGAGGAATAAAGCTTGTTTTGAAGGACAAAAAAGCGATATTTCTAGAATTAAGAATAAGTGTTTGCATACTTTCTTTCTCGTGTAAGAGGAGACATATTGGAAGTATGGATCAGTATATGGATTTCTTAGAATTGTTATGAGGAAGTAAGTAGTTGCATATTTGTCGTAGTATAGTATCTTCTGCTCTTTCTCGAGTCCTGTACCTTTCTGTGCCATGATACCTTCTAATAATACCTTTACCATTTCAAAAGATGACCAAATGCGGACCAGTAATATTCAGGAAAAGCTGCCACAGTTGTGCAGTAACTTGGCAGTGCAAAAACAAATGAGAATGGCTTTTTGTTTGTTTCCCATGTAGGAGGCATTTACTTCATAGAACCAGCCGTCTTTCTTGTAGATTCTCTGAATATAAGCTTTAGTAGAACTCCAAAATGTCCTCCTTGATCTCCTCTGTTTCGTCCTTCAAGACTCCATTGACTTCCAATCTCCCAATGTAATTGTATTCTTTATTAACATTGGTCACCCTGTGAAAGAACTTGGTATTCTATCCCTTGCGTCAACCATAAGTTCTCGACTTTGTCTTCAAGCAATCTCTTCGTATTTGGCAATTTCCTCTACTTCCATCTGTAAATTAGCCCGGACCAACAATTCTTACTCCTGAATATTATCATTTCCGGTGCACTATCCAACTGTGCAACTTGTGCAAGAAGTTCGTTTTTTTATATTTTCCAGACTTCCATAGTTGCTTTTGTTCCATTTCCTCAGCCTTCCTTTCAGAAGTTGTAATTTTTTTGACGGTACATGATCTGGTGTTCCAGTTATCCCAAAGGAATTCCACCAAACATTAACCTTTTCTACATATCCCTCAACGTCCAACAACCATTTTTCAAACTTGATATAGGATCAGCTCCTTTCCCAGTCACTGCATAGAAGTCGTATAGGAGCATGATCCTCGTTCCGTTGGGTAATAAAAAGAAAAAAGTTTTAGATATATATAGATAAGGGCTGGTGTGCCATTAGAAAAAGCTTTTCACGCGCAAAAGGTGATGGCATCATGGTCCTGTCTATATCATATTCATTTGTTTCATCTTCCATGACCCGAAATATTGTCTCAAATGTTTCCTCCAGATCTTGAATAACCTTCAACTTTACTTTCTTTAATCTCCTCCGTTGTCCCCTGCAAAGAAGGCGTTCTTTGGAGGACGTTTGACATCCATAAAAGTTTTGATCATACTATGATTGTGGGAGGCCAAGTTTCAAAGGGTTGTTTCTGAAATACGATTGTTTACTGATTAATGAAATGCCAGATAATGTTCAGACATTGTTATGTCTCAATATGTTTAACTCTGGCATTATCCTCAGATAGGAGTCTGTCTTTTCCATTTCACTTGCAATTTGGCGATAATTGTTACTGAAAAGTCGCATTCTTCAGGTGTTATTGTTATTTCAGAGAATTGAAGGTGTAGAAGTGTGCCTCTTTGGCATGTATGTTCAGGAATTTGGATCTGAATGCCTACAGCCAAATCATCGCCGTGTTTATCTCTCGTATCTAGATTCTGTTAAATATTTCAGGCCAGAGATCAGAGCAGTGACTGGAGAGGCTCTCCGCACATTTGTGTACCATGAAATTTTGGTAATCTTTCTTCACATCAATTCCAATGTTGATTCTAGATGTTTGTTGTATATTAATATATTTGATTCCACTCAGATTGGATATCTAGAATATTGCAAAAAGCGTGGTTTCACGAGTTGTTATATTTGGGCGTGTCCTCCATTGAAAGGTGAAGATTATATATTATATTGCCACCCCGAAATTCAGAAGACCCCAAAATCTGACAAACTCAGAGAGTGGTGAGCTTAATAATTTTTTCCATATAGATTACATATTGCTGTAATATGAATTTTTTTCTCATTCTTGTTACATTGATTAAACTAGTGTTTCTCATATTTCAGGTATTTATCAATGCTAAGAAAAGCTAAGAAGGAAAATATAGTTGTTGATCTCACTAATTTATACGACCATTTCTTTATATCCACGGGAGAATGTAAGGCTAAAGTTACTGCAGCTCGTCTGCCTTATTTTGATGGGGACTATTGGCCTGGTGCTGCAGAGGATATGATTTATCAACTTCAGCAAGAAGAGGATGGGAGAAAGCAGCATAAGAAGGGAACTATAAAGAAGACCATAACAAAAAGAGCTCTAAAAGCATCTGGTCAATCTGACTTGTCTGGGAATGTATCTAAGGATCTGCTTCTAATGCACAAAGTAATTCTAATTGCTAAACATCTTCGTTTACTCATTTGCCTTCTACTTTCTATATTTTAATATTATGGGAGTTGTGGCTTGCAACTCCCGAGCAATTAAACTATGATTAAGTATTACGCTTTAGAGTGAATTTTGCACTCGTTTCTGCATCCAAAGGTGTGCCTAATGGTTAATGAAGTAGGTGAAATTCATGGGATACCAGGATTCAGAACCCAGCAGGGATAGAAAGCTAGGTGATCTTTTCCTATCTGCCTCTTAAGCTTTGATGGACAGGAGTTACTCGGTGCCTGTGACAGTGAGAGGTAGCAGGCACCCGGTGGAATAATCGAGTGTGCACACATGGTGGTCTGGATACCCCCTTATATCAGGAAAAAAAAAATTGCACTTATTTTTCATCTTAATGTGATGTTTTGTCTCTGTTTCGCTTTATTTTTTATTCTTTGTTATGAAAGCTGATGGTACTGCCAGTCTCCATTGATTCTGCACTTTTAACTCTGTCCATTTTTTTACTTGCCACAGCTCGGTGAGACAATTTCTCCAATGAAGGAGGATTTTATTATGGTTCATTTACAGCACGCATGTACCCATTGCTGCATACTAATGGTATCTGGAAATCGTTGGGAGTGCAAGCAATGCAAGAACTTTCAGCTCTGTGACAAGTATGGATCTCATCTCTCTATATGCTTAGAGTTGTAAAAGTTCTCTGGTTGTTTATGCTCGTTGCAACCTTGAATGTGGATTGGTTAAAAGTTTACTCAGTTGTAGATCATGTACTGTTTTGTTTTTCCTCCACACACACACCGAATGAATTTAAGTCTTAGTTTAATGCCAACTGCATCCTTGATTTGGTGAAAGGGATCTGCAATTACCAAGTGTTTCTTTATTAGTTTAAGTATTTTATGCAATCTCAGAGCCAACCAGAGAGATCATGTGAAGAAAGGTATTACGTCTATACGAGGCTAGAAAAGACACTGTATAACGTTCAAAGCAGGAATCAAAACATAAAGGAAGGCAGAGGCCTTAAATTTTTTAAAGCAACTAGCTTTTTCTGTCATTCCTCTGTTACTCCAGAAATGGAGTTGTGTGCTGCACGTTTTTCAATTTTAAGTTTGAACCCCGAGCACAAATTTTCTGGAAATGTAGCTGTGCACTGCGCATTCCCAGATTCTCTATGTCTTCTCATTTACGAGGCTTGAACTTCTACTGTCTGCAGTACAACTCATTGAATGACACACCTCCACTTTGTCATCACTGGTGTGTTTCACCAGTACAGGTGAGTTGGGAAATGTAGTGTCATTTGGTGGTGGTTGTGCCATTTTGCCTCTTTGTGAGCATGAATTAGATAGATCTCCTTCTCAACTATCCATCTTGCTGGCAGAGAAACAAAGAACCCCCTGGCGGGGTTGCTGTCTAGGTGGGAGATCTTTATGGAGCAATTTTTGGTTCCGGTGGGGAGACCTTATCTCTCCCCCTCCCCCCCAAAACCCCCTTTATTTTCCCTTTGTGGTGACTGGTGAAAACTAGGTATATTTAATATATTATTGATTGAAGTGTCTAAAAATTTTTATGCTGTGAAGGTCGAGGTTATAGAATAAAGTTGTTCAATAAGAGCATCTTTAAAGACCCAAATAATGTGAAAAGTATATGATGTGAAGAAGCTCAGTTTTTTGCTGCACCCTTCCCTGGGTAGGTTTAGCTCAAATGGGTCCCTAGTTTTTTCATTATTTTTTTTATAGCTGACAAAGAGATGACATATTGATAAATAAATTAATCTTAGGAATTTCTAGGAATGTAAAAAAAAAAAACAAAAAAAAAAAAAGAAAGGTTGCAGTTACATTTTGTTTTGCCAAGTTCTTTTTGGTGTATGAAAATTTTCACAAAAGAAAATTTTGTTTTGCCAAGTTCTTTTTGGTGTATGAAAATTTTCACAAAAGAAACCATTTGAGGATATGATAGTTTCATATTCCTAATGTTTTTNTTGAGAGTGAGTTTTTTGATACAAGGCAGGCATTTTTGAGCCTTTGTCAAGGAAATCATTACCAGTATGATACCCTGAGGCGTGCTAAACATTCCTCAATGATGGTCCTTTACCACCTTCATAATCCCACTGCACCAGCATTTGTGACAACTTGCACCATTTGTCACCTTGATATAGAAACTGGTCAAGGTTGGCGGTGTGAAGTTTGCCCAGATTATGATGTTTGCAATGCCTGTTATAAAAAAGATGGTGGAATTGATCATCCTCATAAGTTGACTAATCATCCATCCCTGGCCGAACGTGATGCACAGAATAAAGAAGCTAGGCAACTACGAGTTTTGCAGGTGCATTCTTCTTGGCCCTTATTTAATTTGTTGTTTTCGTGCTGCTTCCTATGTTTAGTCTATGAAGTTGTAAAAAGCTAGGCAACTACGAGTTTTGCAGGTGCATTCTTCTTGGCCCTTATTTAATTTGTTGTTTCGTGCTGCTTCCTATGTTTAGTCTATGAAGTCCTCTGTTACAACTTTTGGGTCAGTTCTAGATCCCTGGCACCTACCTCTGCTTTGTTCTTTCGGAGCACTTTCATCCTCTTTGAATAACTATATGTTAGTCCTAGTTCACTGCAGCTTCTATGTGGTTCTCTCCTTGTGTTTGATTCACTTTAGGTTACTCGATATTCTTTTTTTTCTTTTTTGAGACGGTAACATTGTGTATTAATATATAACAGTACGTAGGTTGTACTGAAACCATATTTACAAGAGAACAAAAGGGAAGAATAACTGATCTACGATCCTAGCAGTATTGTAAGACTTCTAGGATTGATACAGTATCTTCTGGACACTTCTGTTTACACCAAAAAATAAAAAAGTAGAACACAATTCAGTTTGATCTTTGCTACTGTCTTCAAAACACCTAGAGTTTCTCTCCTTCCAGATTGTCCACCATATACATGCAGGGACAGTCCTCCATCTATCTGTCTCTAGCTGCAGTTCCAGCTTCATCCTAACTAGTAAGCACTTCAGTATTCTTACAAGGCATTGTCCATGAGATACCTCTGAGATTAATAAAGATCTTCCATAGTTGATCTGCTATCCTGCTGTGTAAAAATAGATGGCTAACTGTCTCAGCTGTTTCCCCACATAGAAAGCACCTTGAGCACAGTAGAATTCCTCTCTTTATGAGATTATCCTGGGTCAGAACTGCCCCCTTTGCTAGTAACCAAGTGAAACAAGATACCTTGTAGGGTATCTTGACTTTCCAGATATGCTTCCATGGCCAAGTAGTAATCTGTAGATTAGTGTGATTCAGAATCTTGTATGCAACATTCACCTTATAGATGCCTCTGTTGTGGCCCTTCCACCATAGTGAATCCATCCCATTTTCAAGTCCTTTGAAGACTTACCAGTTGCTTGTACAGCTCAGTTCCCAATCATTCAGCATTCTTCTAAGTATCAGATCCCAACCTTGAGGAGTCCGCATTCTTCTAAGTTCTAGGTTACTCGTTATTCTACTACCCACTTTCCTATGAAATAAGCTATTGTATAGCTACATGTTAGTGTATCACACCTTAAGTCTGAAGTTTGCACTAGATGGGTACTACTTGCTCAAAATTCCTGCGACCATTCTCCGGAACAATTGTTTTTTTGGACAAATAAATATTCTTTCATTAATAACACGCCAAGATGGCGTCAAAAGTATGTACAATTTAGCGATGTTGCTCAATGACAATCACCAATCAAAATTATCCCAATTATCTCTTCTTTGAGTAGTAGTGATGATTGCTTTTCACCAATCAAAATTATCCCAATTATCTCTTCTTTGAGTAGTAGTGATGATTGCTTTTCACCAATCAAAATTATCCCAATTATCTCTTCTTTGAATAGTAGTGATGATTGCTTCATTCATTTTCCTTATGTGAATACAAGGTCTTATTTGTGATGTGAATTTGCAAATTTGCACAACAGGTCTGTCTTTTGAAAAACTTTTTTTACTTTGAAGATTAGAGCTATCCAAGACTGTTATCTTTCTGCAAAAACTTTTTCTTTTTCAATTTTTTTTACAAATGTTATCCAAACAACTCCTTAAGAACTTCTTGATTGAACATCTGGAAATTCATTTGAAAGAGAAAAGTATTAGATGCTTTAGCAGTTCTCCATCCTAATTGAAAAGATAAGAGGACAATGATTAAGCGATACCTTACGGTTTAAGTATCATTCTATGATATCGATGGCTCTGTTCACATATAAATGAAATTATTTTAGCCAGATTATATTTTCTTCCATTTTATTGAAAATATATATACTAGACATTTGAGATCTGACATGATTTCTCCCTTTTAACTCTGCAGCTTAGGAAGATGCTTGGCCTTCTGGTGCATGCTTCTCAGTGCCGCTTTCTACATTGTGAATATCCAAACTGTCGCAAAGTTAAGGGGCTTTTCCGCCACGGTATACAGTGCAAAATACGAGTTTCAGGAGGTTGTTTACTCTGTAAGAAGATGTGGTATCTCCTTCAACTGCATGCTCGTGCATGCAAAGAATTTGAATGTCGTGTTCCACGTTGCAGGTTTGTTGGCTAATGCTTCTTTACATTTTTGTAATCAATCAATTGTCAGTTGTCATAGTTTGATAATGTCATAATAATTAATTAAATGATGATTAGCCAATGCTACTGTTTCCTGCTATTAACAGCAGTAGCTACTACGAGTAGTAATCAATCAGAATCAAACAACTATGATTCAGCCCAAATTGATTGGGGTTGGCTACATGAATCCTCTATACCCCATTTCGGTCTATTCTTCCGAGTATTAATCATAGTTATTGAATATTCTTTATGCTTTGCAATCAACCTGCGGCAACCCTCTTTTATCTTACTGGGGATTGGTTAAGCTTTGCATAGGTCATATAGGTGGATTTTAGTGATTGATAGATTAGCAAAAGATTTTCATAAAACGCAATCACTTTATCTCCCTCTCCGCCTCTCCTTTTTGGCAGTTCTCACTTTTGAATTTCAGCTTAAATTAAATTTGCTATATTTCTACCCTTTATACAGAGATTTGAAAGAACATCTGCGGAGGATGCAGCAGCAATCTGATTCTCGGCGGAGGGCTGCTGTCATGGAGATGATGAGACAGCGTGCCGCAGAGGTTGCAAGCGGTTCTGGGTGAAGATATTGTACATACTGAAATAGGCGTCGTTCTTTAGTCTTATTGGAGGTAGGAGTACAGAAGTAAGGAAGCGTTGGACAAACCTGCTTCGAGCAAACAGGGTGTGTTCATCCCTAGGAAGATCCTCTCCCATGACAAAAGAAACTGGACGTGTCTGGTTGACTAATGATTCTTCCTTCTATGGCACATCTTTGGATTACCTCTATTATGATGGTTATAGATCCAAGCTGCTCTTGACAACGGTTCCCTGGAGTATAGCATACCAACGAGCTCATATGCCCGTGGCTCATAGGTGATTCTTTGATTTCATTCTCTTTGCATTCTACCAAAAGCAGCCATCATTTGATGGCAGATGTAACATAGCGTTCCTTATTTAACTTGAGCTTGCACTACAAAGGGGGGCAAATCAGTTTTTCTTTAGTGAAATTGTTTTGTTTTGTTCCGTTCCGTTCCAGTTCATGGGTTCTCAAACTTGTCTTCCGTTCTATGGATGTTTCCCTTATTTAAAGATGCAAGAGTTACAATTAGCAACTTGCAATTGATTCAGTTTTCCAAGCCAAAATGTACACAGTATGAGTGTAATTATTTCCTCATGTTTTCCATTTCAATTAAACAACCTTACTTCCTTCCTCAGCTTGACCGACAATAAATTGGATTTTGATTAATGTTATCTCCAAAGCTTTTAAAAGATTTTGTAGTTAGGCATGAATGGCATTTTGAAATTTGTTTAGCAAGCAAGGTTACATGTTAAGAAGTACAAAAACAGCTCTTGTTCCTTTCTAAGTATTAATTACAGAATACATTTGACCACACAAGATCAGTAAAGAGGATAGTTTATAATATTCGCCAACGAATTGTGTAAACCTCTTATACTACAATCAAATAATTACTCCTCCATCCAACATACATAGCGCTAGCGGGTAGTAATGATAGGATGTCCAAATACTCTACCAATACGTAATGTGCAACATTGACAGTATCGTCATATAATAATACAGTTTCCCTTCTCTTACCACTTTAACAATGAAGAAAAAGAAAGGTTAGGTTAGGTTGAAGGGGACACCAGTTTATGACAACTATTTTCACTAGTCTCAACGGCATAATAGAGAAAGAAAAATGCTCATTTCATTCACGACAAGGACAATTACAACGGAAACACTGCTATATAGAAGGAAAATAACAGAAACAGCTAATATCCTAACAAACCGACACATGGGACGACATGTGTTTATATTCTAGAACCTCCTAAAGGACTGATTGATGTAAAGACCAAGCTGGACTCAATATGGACTATGTCACACCTGCTTTTTCCCGATAGGGGTAGTGGTAAATTTTTTCAATTAAAGCGACATTAATTAAAATACGATTATTTTATTTATTCGGAGTCGTCACTTGAAATAATTTATGGTGTCCCAAGTCACCGATTTATTTTAGAATCCCAAATCGAGGAAAATTGACTCTTATTTATGGTATGCGAACACAGAAGATCGGGTAGGAATTCTGTTAACCCGAGAAAAGGTGTGAGGCACTCCCGAGTTCCGTGGTTTTAGCACGGTCGCTCAACTATTAATAATTGGCCTAGTTATCTAATTTAATACATGCTTTAAACCTATATGTGCATTTTTATTCCTTTTACCGCTTTTATTACATTACTGCATTTTAAACTTTTATGGAATTAATATGAGACGAGTTACGTTATCGTACACTCGTTTATACACATCGCTAATCGCGTCACGTGAAACGCACCCGCAATCTACATCGTGTTTAATTTTATTTATTATTGTTTGAAGTTGTGGTCAAGTCGCGTAAAACGCACACTCGAATTGGGATTTACGTATCGTGACCATGCCACGGGAACCGTACACATTGCCACGATAATTTATTAATCGCGCCTAAAGTAAGCTACGAAATTTATGAATTATTTGTCTTAAACTAATTTGAGATTTGTAAAGCCATAAGAGTATGTCATTGTAGAAAAGCATGAAATAAATTAAATTAATTATTCAAGAACTACAAAAATGGGTCATTGTATGGGATTTATGGACCTAGCAGATTTCAAGTTTTGGCCCAAAAATAAAATAACTTTCTCCATTAGCTTATAGTAACCTCACAACTCCACTTCCTTCAACAACCCATGTGTCTAGGCCCAAACATTGGATCTTCACCAGTGACATAATTCTAGTTAAACTTGTTTAACAACTTAACTCGATACTTTAGACAATTGACATCTTAATTTAAAACAAAGATGGAACTACTAAAGCTCATTTATTAACACATGAAGGACTAAATAACCAAATAGAGACATAACATTGCTTGAGCTTCCATTTCAATAAGAAATTATTTTTTTTATGAACAATCACAACTCACTTATCAATTAGCGAATTTCATTAAATCATTCATGGATGAACCCTTTTTCAAGAGAACATGCTAATAAACTAAAATAAATATACAAAGAGGAAGCTCAAAAATTGGTATGTTTAACAGAGAATAATTTCATTCATTCAAGATATAAATGAACACCAAAGAACACCAAAAGACAACTCATATCATTAATCAAAACAAGATAAGAAGTGGACCTCAAAAGTTGAATCTAAAACTTTACGGTTTTACAGCTTTGAATCTTAAACTCATTCAGACCGCACGCAAGACCTCAAACGGAGCATCGAAACTCGCCGACGACCTCAACTAGAAACCTCACTAAATTTATTTTCTTCTCTCCCTCCCCTTTTTGCCCCCACATTTCTCTTCCATTTATAGAAAAAAAATTCAGAATTTTCAGTTTTTTTTTAATTAAAAGGAATTCCCACTTCTCATTTTTAAAAAATAAAATAAAATAAATAATTCCCCACTTTTCTTTACTTTTATTTTTTAATTTCTCACTTTTTTTACTCTTAATATATTAAAAATCCCACTTTTTTTTACTTTTCTTTTTTTATTTCCCACTTTTTTACTTTTCTTTTTTTATTTTTCACTTATTTTACTCTTTTTTTAAAATTTTCACTTACTTTTACTTTTATTCTTTTATTAAAAAAAATCAGATACCCTTACTTTATTTTTTAATTCCAACTTTATTTTACTTTTCATTTTTTTAAATTTTCACATTCTTTTACTTTTATTTTTTTAATTTTCCACTTTCTTTTACTTTTTTTTATTAAACAATTTCTACCTACTTTTACTTTTACTTTTAAATTTTATATTTTTACTTTTACTATTTTTTTAATTCCCATCCGCAATTTAAAAAAAAAAATAATAACAATTAATTTTTATTTATTTTCGATTTTTTTAATTTATTTTATTTAAAAATAAAGATAAAAAAAATACTAATATTAATAATTGACCCTTTTAAATTATTATTAATTTTTACCCTATATAAAAAAAAGTAACAAAGCTAAAAAAATATATATTAAATTTCTGAAAATATTTATATAGTAAAAGGTGATAAAAATTTAAATATAATCAAAAATGAGGTGCTGAGACTAAATGCCACTTGGGCCTTATTAAAGAGAACTAACGTGAGTTGATCCCAAAATCCCTTCTCCCCCGCAAGACCCAACTCTTAACATAGCCATGGTTACATGAACCACGCCAAAAATAACTTATCACATTAAAGTCAAAGTTCAATGGCTGAATCCAACTCCGAGAGAGAGAGAGAGAGAGAGGCGAGAGAGAATTTACAGGATGAAACAAATACCTAGAAGAAAGGGATGGCCAAAATTTTCCGCCAACAAGAATATATACCTCATTGTATATATTTGAATATTCTCTTTTACATGTGTTTGGGGATCCTCTTCATTTGCTTTTGGAGGTTGTAGGGGGAGAGAGGGAGAGGGTTTGAGTATTTGATCTTGTTAAAATGTTAGTGTACACATTTGACAGAAAATGGAGGAGTCAGTTGCCCAGCCTGCCAGCAAACGAGAATAAGCAAATTAAGTTAAGAGCTCAGGAATTAAAAAAACACAACTTAAGATAACAATAGTAAACCGAGTTATGTTTTCATGAAAATAACTATCATGAATGAATATTTTTTTCCTAGTGTTAAAATCCCTATTTTCCTAGAAAAGTTCCTCGTGGATATGAATCTGTGATATGCAAATAGCACCATTCAGGGCATCTTTTGTGTTATCCACCAATTGTTAAGTCATACTATATTCTTCAAGGATATAAATAACTATCAAAGTGATAAAATTTTGAAACTGAAACACCAAGAAACAATGGTAAATCTGCTTATTTATACAAGGAAATAAGAAATATGTTGGTATTTTTCAATCTGAAATTAGATCAAACTGTAGGCTGTCAATATTCAAGATTAACTTAGTAATTGGTTGCTAAAGGTATACAGCAAGAGGTAGAGAAATGAATTTTAAGTGACAAATGCATGTGGAATAGTGAGTTAAGGTATAGAATCAGAAGAACAACATACCTCGAATGGAAGAACGACAAAAGGCACGAACTATGATAAGGTTTCCGTACGGGCAATCCCAGAGTGGGGACAACTGTGTGGTCTTGACAGAATCATCCCAGCAGAAGCTCTATATTGTATTCTTTACTAGGTGCTATCAATTTTATTTTGTTTCATATATCAGGGATTGAAAATGCTAGAACCACTGACATTGAGAGCAATTAGAACTGAGATACTTGTGATAACCGCAAGCCAAAACAGGGCCGATTCTGCAAATAAGAGATGTTAAATGAGACAAGTAAGAAATGAGAAGAACTTAAGATTTCCTGGGAGAAAACAAAATTGAAATTTGAACTATCCAGAGCAATTCAATGCACTTTACCTCCGAAATTTTCAGGGGTATCAGAATTTTGCTGTACAGGTTTAGCAGCAGTACGTTGTCTTGATGCTGACACTCTAGTTTTAAAATCATCTACAGTTTTAATATTGCCTGTTTCAGATGCCACGATCCCTTGGAATTCCTCACTGACAATTAACGCTGCTAATAAATCCACAAATGATTCTTTATCTGTTCCACTAGACACAGTCTTTCCACGCTGCTCATATACAGCAGCATCTCGTTCATCAAAGTCGGATAATTCATCATCTGAAGCATCCAAATCCAAGGACCTTGCTTCAATCCTTTCATCTTCCTCATCTTCGACATAAGCTTTATATGTCAGTCGGAGTAAGACCTCTCCTACAGGCCTTGGTCCCAGTAGTCCCCAGCCTCTGATGACCACAATTATGTCTGTCGGTACAGTATCTTCAAGAGATCCCAGATCAACCTAGAAATAGCAGTCATTAGCAGGATACCTTTCAAAAAATTGTAAGTTACCCTCTTTTTTATTCTGTATATCATAAAAACCTCTACACTAATTTTGACCCATTCTCACCTAATATCAGTAAGCACAAAATTATTTCAAAATCTAGCAGTATCCACAAAGTTTTATTAAGTTCCAAGCAGAAGTTTGTAACTTCGCTGATACTTGACTAATATCTGAACTTAGCTAAGAAAAACAAAACAACAGAGAAAGCAAATCCTCATACAATCTAGTAAAGAAGAATTACAACTTCGAAGCATATTTGTTTTATTGCAAGAATCACCTAACATAGCACTAAGCACAAAATTATTTCAAAATCTAGCAGTATCCACAAAGTGTTATTAAGTTCCAAGCAGAAGTTTGTAACTTCTGCTGATACTTGACTCATATCTGAACTTAGCTAAGAAAAACAAAACAACGGAGAACGCAAATCCTCATACAATCTAGTAAAGAAGAATTACAACTTCGAAGCATATTTGTTTTATTGCAAGAATCATCCTTAGCTCTTCACCCCAGAAGTGAAATAAGATGCGTCTTTTTTTCTAATAATTCAAAACAACTTCATCAATAATTGACCAATCAGTATTATTATTTAAGATGGGCTTAAGCCCTGAAGCTAGGTGCAGGGCATGTTGGACGCTTCACCTTGCTTAGGCGACACTTCAATGCAGGTAAGAAAGCATTATGGCATGCACCTCATTGCCCATGTGCTGTCTTGAAGAAGGCAGCACCAAACAATAAATATGAGTGACAATGTGATATGCCAATTGGTAAAGAGAAGACGTAATTAATATGTTAGTAATTATTAGGAAACATAATTTAGTATAAAAAGACTAGTCACTTTATATAAATCAGAATCCTCATCTTGCATCTTTGCACCAGTATATGAAATATGACATGGTTTTCGAATTTGATTAACATAATATTTACTACATATATCTTACTTTATTGTAGTTTCTTTTTAAAATCATTCTCCATATAATTGGTTTGTGTCTACAATTATTTTTTCTTGCATTGTTATATGTTCATTTGAGCCATTCTTCAGTAAAGAACGTGCTTTAGCGCTTTGCACTCAAAGCCCCAGACATTGATGCTCTTCTACAAATTTAACTTAAGAGATAAATGACTTAGCTTTGAGTGTCCAAAAACTATATCCAACTATCTTTATAATTATCTACCATAATCATCACTAATAATTGAAAAAAGAAACGGCAATAGCATCCTTCTTCAAGTTGCCAAAATACAATTAACTAATTTGCATTTTTAGAGGCTGAGCCTTGTCGCTACGGCAACTGTAACCTGTAGGTCACTTGTTCGAGCCATGGAAACAGCCTCTTTGCATAAATGCAAGGGACAAGGATGACTACAGTATATCCAGTCTCCCCCACCCTTGAGTAGTCCGGAGTACTTTGTGCATGGTATAACTGTATAAGTCCTTTATTCATTTGCATTTTCCATTTTGTATAAGACACATCAGAAAACAAGAAATTAGATGGATCACCTTTGAGAAACAAAGACAATAGACGTATGAGTTACAGCAAAAGTAAAATCTGTACAGGATGTTTACCTCTCCTCCCCCAATAGTAAAATCTGTAAATCCAAGGGAATCCTTTGTTTCTATATATAGCTTTTGTTTCCTGGGGTTTGTGACAAACATGTGAAAATCCTGCCAAATGACAAAGAAAAAATGGGCAACAGACTTATGAGTTACAGCAAAAGATTAAGCAACCGGGCCAACAAATAAATCCTACCACTATATCAGGCCAACAGATCTAAATTTAAATCACCTGATTCCATATAGGCTCTCCAGGAGGTCCAATAACAGTAGTTTGACTGTTTCTTTTGCTGCGTATTACTTGATCTCCAAGTCTTAGAATAACATACGGATCAGTTTTGCCTGAATGACAGAGGCCAGGAGAATTTCACAAAGAGAGACATGGAACAATAGAAGAGGAAATTACATCTACAAAAAACATGTAGTATTCATGAAAGAAATGAGGCCTACAAAACCCTTATGTGATAACCTGATCTAAACATCTTATGTGCAAGGCTCTCCATGTGCTAACCTAGCATCTGGAAACAAAAGTTTTTATTTTTATTTTTTTGGTAAGTACCTAGCATCAGAATCCAGGCATGAACATCAATGAAGTCGCTGTTTCTTGGTGGTGGCCAATGTCATCGAATCACATAACGAACATACTTACTGATAAAATTGATACAAAGGTTATATATGTGCACCCAAGCCGTGGTTGGCACTTAAAAGAAAAGACAAAAGGGGAGAGATGAAGGCGACAGTAATTTAATGGAATCACTCATTTCTACCAAACTTTAACTACGAAATTATTTTATATTTGTCGGCGAGCATAGTCAAAAGTCTTCACATTTCCTTCTTCATAATGTGATTTCATTTGGTACTTTTTTCTTAATCAGTGATTTCATCCCGTAATTATTCTATTTGAAATAAGGATGATAAATTATGCTTCCACTGGTTCACTGTGATTACAGCACCAACTATGAGTCCCCAATGGATGGCTTTTATATTCACTTAAAGTAGTTGTTCATGCAATGGAAGTCACGTTGATCTTCGACTGATTTTCAAACAAATACCTTCTTTCTTTTTTCTTTCACCAGATTAGAATATGTACACAACATTTTTTTACTAATAAAAGAATATGAAGAAACGAACTGACAAGCTTTTAGTGTTACAAAGAAGCAAAAATCAGAACTAGGAAAGATTGATGCCACTGATGATAGATGAACAAATTCATACCATAGATGATATAAGAGAGTTTCCTTGCATCAACAAGAGTCACTGATAGTTCTCCAGCAAAGTCCCTGTTTCCTTCTTGCATTTCTCCAGCCTTCACTTCATTTTGACCAGACTTAACATCATTTGGAACAGGGCCAACTGCCTTCCCTTTCTGAAAATCCAAAACAATTTTTTTCGGTCGGACGAAGAGACGAGGTAAATCCTCAGTAAGAAGTTTCTTCAAAAACCTGAAACATCCATAGAAGAAATAAAAACTCACACTCACTGCTGCAGTGGGAAAATGAGATAGTTCCATAGAATATTGTTAATTGAAAACAAGACGGGCAAGAAATCCAGAATGAATATGATGCTAGAACTATCTAGGCCTAGAATTAAATATAAAGAAGATCTGTGCTAAAGCACCAAATGCAACCATTACCGTAGACCATTTCAAATGACCAGAGATTTCCAAAAGAATCAGAGAGGATAAATGGGAAGCACGAGAGAGAGAGAGACAGAAATAATGTGGCAGATTCTCAAGAGAGTCATACATGATTGATGACAATTGAACATGACCCTATAACTTGAAATGCAAATGGTTTTTTTAATTGTAAAACTGAAAGAAGCATATTTGACTGCATAAGGTCGTAGGAGTAAAAGCGGTCGTCGAAAGCATTCTTCAATGAGATGGCTTATCCCCACCAAAAAAAAGGACTCTTCAATGAGCTGGCAATTGGGATAAACAAACTGAAACAGAATACGCATGTGTAATAAAAACACAACAAAAGATAATGGATAAAATACTACTTACATTGATAGAACAGGAATTGCTGGTGTTGCCCAAATACATGCAAGAAAAAAACATAAATATGTGAATATCCTCATACTGGCCACATCAATAAAATCACTCGCCTAGTTTACAATTATTTTAGGTATCGTTATCCCATTTTAGAAACTGTGAAAAGAAAAATAAACAATGGGCAATCAATGATGACAACTCAGTCTCAGTAAGTAATCAACATTTGGTAACTACATACTGGAGATCTCACTTCACAGCAACTCAACAAAAAAGAGCTGGTTTTCACTAATAAAAAAATCAGGTTTTATGGCAGAAGAATGCTAGTTAGGGAGCTGAGTCCATAGAGAAGATTATGCGAGCAAGAAAGAAAACTAGAAAAGAAGAATGCAAATATGTTTCATAATCTTCAAAAGTATACCTAATCGGTGCTAAAGACTCGTATGAAGTTCCTAAAATTACATTACAGTACTCCATACGAATTAACTATATGGAGTTCATCCATATGTCTTAAAGAATATGTTCCAACAACAAAAATTTGAAACCTATGATTAAACCCACAATCTAAACACCTTTTCCACTCCATAAGTCATTGAATGGCTCACTCTTCTCTAAGAATGAGCGCTAACAAAAAGAAAGTCAAAGAGGTTTCACAAGAAACAAATTAAACACAAAAGAATGGTGAAACATTTGTTACACTTAAAAAAAAGAATGGTGAAACTTTTATAGGTAAAATCTTGAATATATCTGCTTTAAAACAGTGTTTAGTATCTAAATCATATGGGCATGCAAGAACAACAACTACGACTCAATCCCAAGCAAGTTAGAGTTAATCATATTCACTGTCCATGTCAAACCATCTAAGTTCATCTTAGTTCAATATTAATAAAATAAAATTAATAGGAAAACACTAGAATATCTCTATATTTTCTTCTGGCATTAAACACCAAGATTCACATTTCGCACATGATTCTCACAGATAATAGCCCTAAAGATTGAAATTCACATACCCATTAGGTTGAACAAACGGAATGGTGACAAGTCAAGCTTTATCTTCGGAAGGGAAACAAAAGCCCAAGAAACCGCTCCAACCCAAGGCTCTGTTTGTATTAATCGTAACTTGACCCAGAGTTCACCATCAATGTCAAAGTTCCGAACACCAACTGGCACAACAATGGGGATAACTCCAAATTTTAGTGACAGCATTAAAAGCATACGAGCACCACCAGTGTATCGGAGACCTATCTGATACCTAGGAAGCATTAAACAATGCACAAATCAGTTGATACATTCAATGAACTTTCACATAACAAAAAAGGTAAGGAGTTGTGTTTTTATCATGTCACTTTGATTGGAGCTAGAGAACTTTGTAGCACAGAGAAAAGTAGAGAAGATCATAGCTATACACATGTTCTAATTTCAAATAATTAACCAAAATTTATGGAGCTGAGTTGAATAATCGATAGTAAAATGAGACAGAGCATATGTGGAGAGCTAAAATTTGGTTGGAGATGTCCCAAAAAAATTACTTCCCTGGTTCAGAAGCAGGATTTTCTGGGTCAAGAGGATGTTTAAGTACATTGATAGCAAACAATGTTCTATGAAGTTTCATAACATTATCCTTCAATTTGTAAATCTATCTGAAACTACCTTGGCACAAAATGGAGGTAACTAATGTATAGCTCCACTACAAACTTTATCGAGAAAAAGAAAGGTCGTAATTATCAGATTCAAATTTCTCAAGGAGCTAATCTAATTTTTTTTTCTTTTTTTGATCACTCTCACCTAGTCTAATTGTTTCTTTAAAAGAGTGAAAACACCACTATATCGAAAGAAAACATTCTCCTCCTAATTAAATGATGTCCCTATATTTTCCTTCTGATTCTAGACGTCAACTGAAACAAGGAACGAAAGCTAAGGAGAAAATATTAACTCGATAGCTTTCAACCAAGATAATTTCACAAGGAAATAGCTTTTCTCTAACTCTTTCCTCCTAATAGAATGTGTATATTTCTCTTTTGAGACTAGACCCCATCTCAATTGAAGAATGCAGACTAAGGAATATATAGCAACTTAAAGGCTGTCAACCAAGGAAATCAAACAAGTAAATAGCTGTTCTAATTTTAACTTCAACTTCTTCTTTTTTACAGTTAGGAGAGCTTTTCTAAATCAAACAAGTAAAGAGCTTTGCAAGAAATGTAACTCACTGCAAATCATTGACTCGACGAGAAGTTCTGCGCTCGACACTCCTAACAGAAAGAGGCTCATCCCCAAGCGAAAATTGCTTAATCTCAACTCTCTCCACATAATCAGGCTTCTTCAAATTATCAATAACAGGCTGAAGCAAACCAATGATCCAATTCTCAATGCCACCTCTATAGACCTTCCACAACTTCCCTAACACCATATTTACCCACTCCACTGACTCTTTCCTTTGCAAATCCTTCTCCAACAACGACGAAAGATTCATTGGGACCCGCGGCCACATCCCCTCGGGGTTCCCTCCATTCCCCCCTCCCTTAGAACTACTTTTTCTTGAAGTCCAAACCTTATCAAAAACAACACCAACAAAGAAAAACAAAGCAAAAAGCCCGAAAACGCCTCGATTTATTGGAGGTGAAGGTAATGGATGCATCACCCCTAATTGAGTCCTTAACTTATCTACAAAAGGGTCTTCTTGAAAACTAGCAAAATTGTTATTACTAGAACGACTAGTAGAAGCTTCTAATTCATCAGAGACACTTGTAGAAGGTTCTAATTCATCAGAAAATCTCTTAATTAGAATATTTCTAGCTCCTCTTGTGGCATTATTTGTAATATGTATATCAAAATTATGGTGGTCTCCACCACCATTCACACAACAAGGCCGAATTGCCCATTTAGTACAAATCCAATTCGAATTCAAATCCAAATTTGAGCCCAATTTCCTCAAACCCCTTCTCTTCCTTGTTGTGAATAGTGAATTGCGAGAGAAATCAGGCGTAATAGCGGAAATTGATTCAAAAACCATTAATTACAAAAGAGCCAGAAGACTTTGGAGCTATAATTAACAGTTGTTGAACTATACAGCGAAGTGCTAGTAAACATGAATCCAAAACTGAGATTGCAAAAGCTAGTACTAGTTTTGCTCAAAGCAAAGGGAATTGAAAACAACATTAGAAGCTATAGAAATTTTAGACTCAGCACACTTAGATGCATCAGAAGTTGAGAAGAANATAATGCGGGATGACAATGGCGTATATATAGGTGTAGGTGAGTAACTGTGTGTGTGTGTGTGTGTGTGAGAGAGAGAGAGAGAGAGAGAGAGAGAGAGAGAGAGAGGAATAAGGAGAAGATAGGAAGATTGAAAAGGCCAAAAAGGAAGAAATAGAAAGTGGACGGTACAAATGTGGTATAGAAAATAAGAATCAGGATTGATCCTGATTCTCATTTGATTACAGGGTATTTTCAAGGCCTCAAAAATTTTGCAATCTGAAACACAAAATACACATTACACAAACCGTCCAAACTCCAAAGTGTGAAAGTACACCCCTTACCCCCCCCACCCCCACAATAATCCAACAGTGAATTTTCATGATGACTGTGTTCCCAATATTTATTTATTTTTACTCTGTATTAAGGCTCAACTAATTTAATTCGCAGCCGGAAATTTTATATCATGGATTAAAACGCTTATTAAAAAAGACTCTTTGATTAGGATTGAAAGAGCGCCGGTAAGACTTTCGGATTAAGATTGAAAGAGTTTTAATCACTCGGCCTCTGCTTGTTGGTGTGTTGTCAATATTTTGTTTGAAAGTGATAATGCATATAGGGGCGGAGCTTTTAATGGAATAGAGGTTCGGTCAAACCTTGTATTGAATGTGAGGCTGCACGTTTAACATTTTTTCGTGGAGTTCAAAGAATATTAATTTAACAAGTATTAATCTCTTCCTATCAAATTTTTTTTTAGGTAATTATGTACGGTCAAAATCGATTCTCGGTCATAAAGACTGACCAAAACGATGACGTCTCGATCAAAGGGTATCCACATAACCAGCTCGGATGAATTTCGAGGTAAGAGCGTCGAGTTTTGAGCTATAAGACCGATCGACGGCAAAACTCGGTATCATTATCGAGCCCGTATCCGAATCGAACTACGAAGCAACTCCGACCGGCACAGGCCCCGAATATCGATGCCCCAAGGCAGAACGGGCTCGAACCAAGACCAGGGGTTCGACCTAACACCAAGCCTGAGCCAGCACCGAGCTCGCCGACAAAAGCCATTATAACCGCACCGAGAGAGAGAATCTTGGCAGGAATCAAGGAAGAGACAAACCACCATGGGTCCTCCACTATATGTATTATTTTATTATGTTGTTATAGATAAAATATAAAAAGGGACATAGATTGCAATAGAATCATCCTCCCATTAAGAGTTCATGTTGCTCATTGAGCCTTCCTATTGATTATTCCCATTCTATAACAAAATACTGGTATTGTCATTTTTTATCATAAGGAATTTACGTATCATTAGAACCCCACCTAAATTCAACGTTTCTCAATTTTCGGATAAACAGTAATAATCTATGAATATTATCATAACAATCAAAAGTTTTACACCCTAATAAGCATGGAGAGTACTAGGAAGTTCCGAGTACACCAAGACCTCAAGAAACATAGCTAAATATACATAAACTAGTTACAAAATATCTGCTAAACAAAACTAACTACACAATTTACTAATCAAAACTTTGCACTTCTTTGCCCTCCTCGTACGCTTGTTAATCTTTTCTTTGAGTTGTTTCTCTATTTGACCAATACAAAATTCTATATTTAAACTAACTTGTCGGAATATTCTTCGGTTCCTAGCTTGCCACGTGTGATAAACCAAAGCATTGTTGCTCTAAACTGCCTCCAATCCTATCAAATTTGTTTGGTCATCATTTCTTGTTAGACTAAACACGTTTCCTTCTAGATATGTGGCATATTATATGCTCCACTAAGTAGTAAGTACAAAACAAATGGTGTACTTTGATACTGTGAAGATACTTTTGATACTTCCATAATTAATTTGGGTCAAAAAGATTCAGCGTTTTGAAATTTATAATGTGCGTTAAAAGTTTTTTCTTTTTTTTTTTCTCAAATGTAATATCCAGTCAAATTATTTCAAAACCAATTGAATAAAGAAAATTATTAATGACAGTGATAGAAATATCATGATGATGAATAAAGTTGGTTTGGTGAAAAAATATATAGTTGTATAAAATAACACTAGAACGTATCAAATTACAATATATGATTTTCATATAATTAAAAATGAGGAAATTATAAAAATCAAATAAGGTTCCCGTGGGCCGGAACCGACACGTTCTGGACTTTCTTACACGGCTCGCCCACCTCCAGCCTACAAGTTAGGTCGTTGACCCATTTGAAAATACTTTTTTGACATTAAAAAAGAAGTATTATTTGGTGTCCTAACTCCTGATATCTTATAAATTAATCAATTATAGTATGAAATTTTAAAATTTATCTCTGTAAACTAAATAAAAATGAAAACTATAGAATAAATTGGAATACCAATTATTAAGAATTTTGGCTTAACAAAGAGCAGAATCTGTCACTTTTAAGTAGCGATTACTTTAAGGGGATCGTTTGATACAATGGTGGGACAAGCAAGGATATCTCATAGAATTGACTATTTTACCTTTAATATGAGATAGCTAATCTTATCATTTTAACGTAAAATTTATCTCGGGATTAGTTAATAATACATATAACCAAACATTAAATAAATAAAATTTCTCCTAATTCATCTCAAGTGGAAAGCACGCTTCCTAAAGCAGTAAGGCTAAAGGCAAAGTGTTTGCCGTGAGTGCTCTATTGTCTAAAAGTCAAACGTAAAAGTAATTTTTTATGGGATACAATTTTTTTGTTACCTCTACTTTTAACTTGAATTATATATATCCAAAAAAGTTTACTAGTATCATTTCCACTTAATCGATCATTCTATAAACTGTTTATATAAAGCAGATATGTAATGTTTTGTAGGAGTCTACTTCCTTAATCTTAATGGAGTCACGATGTACTTATTATCTTGTTTTCAAAATTAAATATTCATCTTAAGCTAATATATTTTCCTGTTTTAGACAAGGTTTAAACAAACCCGAAGCCACGCAATAAAACTTGTATTTTCAATATTAATTAACAGATTTNCTTTTTTTTTTTTGCCTGTTTATGTGATAAGTGTCACTAGTTCCGTCTTCACAAAGATCAAGATGAAAGAGCTCTATTCATGTACAATGCTTACATATATCGAATAAATATAGTTAAGTGATAAAAAATGTATATAAAACACAAATTTCATGCATTCATTAGTTTGGTATATAACACAAACACCATGTGTGAGGAAGTTTCCCCACTCTGTCATTTGCCCACTTGTTGCAGAAAGCTTAGAGGGAGGAGGAAAGTAACAACTGCTAATAGTAATAACCAAAGGGTAAAAGGAACATGAAACGAAATACTTGCTAAATTGAATTATGTACAGAGAATGTCTTCCATTGTCAGCAGCTCTGTGGTGCTTTACATTTTTAGAAGGATCAACGATGACATTCACATCCAATCGCTTTCCAAACGAACCTGAGGCCCTTTCCAGAAATCTAACCTCACAATCAACTATGCACAATAAAGAATGTAAAATATGAACAACTTTCTTGAAAGAAAACTTTTAAGACCCAGAAATTCATAACATTCCTAGTGTCTTTAGAGAAGAAATCAAACAAGATCTGAAGGATCTAACTCTCTTGTGGGGTTTTCTGAGGGCCTTCTATAAATACCATCAAAAGGAAGGTTGAAGTCTCCAACCGAATCATCCATGAAGAAGGTATTGGCCAACCTATTAGAGTTCTTCAAGTTAACGTGCTCGTGCTCATCTAGACTTCTATCAGAGAAATTATCATAATAATCGTGACGATTGCTATTGAAATTTGGAGGTTCAAGAAAGCTTGTCTGGGGATCTGCAACTTGTAGTCGAGTTCTATCCCACCACTGGCTCCTGATAGATTGCGCCATGCTACTTGAATCATCGTGATGTAGGATGCTCTCCCTTAAAACAGGAGCAGATGTGGTAGCTTCGAGATGACTTTGAGATCGGTCCTCAAATAGGTGCTCCCAGTTGTTATCAACTGTATCCTTGATTTGCACAAAATGAGATGGCATCCAAGGATCTTTAAGGCGTTCATTATCACTATGAGATGGCCTGGATTCAATGCCTCTTGAATCACTACTCGTATTGTGAGGATGCGAGGTATAATACCAATCAATAATGTACCTCTGTCCACCATCTATTAACCACATTGAGCCAAATCCAGCTCCCAAGTTGTTGAGAGGCACTTCCCTGGAGAACAAGTTATTTCTGTCACTTGAACCTCTAAAGTTGGGATTCCAGTGCTGTAACTCTGAAGGTCGATATACAGGTATTATATCCTGCACCTGCAGCTTTTGCTCTCTGAACGTTTTGAGCGTTGATAGGAACTGTTTTCCTTGATCATCAGGTTCCCAGGAAGGGTAGCTATTTAGAAAGCTGCAATTGTTTGACATGTACTGTTTTTCAAAAGCGTCTTAAATCCAAAAATAATCCTAAAACAGGCTGCAAGTAGTCATTAGACCAACCTCAGAAATGATTTCTCCATTTTCCCTTGAGAACTTCTCTGCACGCGGGCGGAATTATATGGCGCTCCATATTTGCTATTGCCATGATTCTGAAAATCAAACACGCTGAAGCTGCAAAGAAAGACATTATATCAGTGCTTAACAATTGAAATGTGCATGCTCCAACAGTGGGAGCCACCAAAATATGAATGCATAAGAAAGTAAGCTGGTAAAATTACTAACCTGCACACATGGCCAACACCCTCAACATGAACAGTGAAGTCCACAATGAAATGCAAAATGTCATCTACCCTCTGACAAAAACTATCCAACTATTAGGGACCATCATCTCAAGGATTCTCAAGATAGGTAGGTAAGGAAATTATCCTTAAAAAACGAAGATCACCTTTGGCACAACAAATAGCAATAGATATGGCGTAAGAAAAATTGAGGCCATCTCCTCAAGTAACATCATTCCAGTATACTGCACAATAAGTTAATAAGAAGTCAGTAACAATCTCACACAGTAAAAAGTACTAAACAATCTATCCGTCGACAGTCAAACTCTTGCATAACCTGGTT